AAAAAGACTACTTCTAGTATTACTAAGGTATATTATTCTACAGATACATACTCAATATGATTGCTTTTTATGTACCAGAATAACACAAATTAAACAAAACACAAGGCATTGCAATCTATCGGATACTTGTGTATATATGTAAAAGTTTCAATTCTTGTCCCTTGATTTTGCATTGAGGAAAGTGTCAGGAGGAATTTTTGACCATCCTAGAATGTGGCAGCATTCTGAAAAGCTATGTGCTTTGCATTTTCTAATTAAGACTGAAATTGTACATATAATTCCCCTGCTAGTAAGGAACCGAGACTTAAAAAATCAAAAGTTTCTTTTTTTTTGTAATTGTACTTCTATGTCATTCTGTGTGGCTACACTTCACCTAGACAGATAGACAACTCAAACCAAAGAGGGAACACTATCATCAAATAGATAGTGCAATACATTATTAGTCCAGTTCGTGAGAACACAGTTTAAAATTACAATAATAAAATTTGAGCTGCAGACTCAAATTTGAGACTTCAGCCATTGACTGAAGCATAACTTGGCCCTTCAAAAAGAGGAAATGCACAATATCTCCAGTCTTGGAAAGTTCCTGATGCTCCTTGCCCCTTCAGAAAGCACAGGGCCTACCACAATGTCCGAAGTCTTAAGTCACATCCTAAGAACTTTGCCCTATTATTGTTGCAGTTGGCTATTTAGCTTTCTTTCTGACACACAACAGACAGAAAGAGCACCTTTGGGGTCTGATTCTGCATTTCTCAAAACTCCCACTGAAGTCCATAAAAGTGTGGCGTACCTAGAGAGTGTAGCATCAGGCTCCCAATTACTGCTTCGTTACTCAGTGAAATGTTACCTAAAGGTTTAATTATATAACTGTAACAGATATGTATTACTGTTTTTTTATTTTTTCTTATCTGCAAGATGTCAGGAATTTGCACAGATCACTCTTTGAGAAGAAATATTAAAGAAATGTAAATTGTCTGGATGTCCAAAAGTACAGAATAGAGGTATCTCTTCATTTGAGAGCCGAAAGGTTTAATATTCAGACTAATATTTCTCTTCTGCAGCTAAGACATTGGATTTCTAATCTGTCAACAGTCTTTTTTTATAAAAGAGATGTATGTATATTTCTATCTATTTTTAATTAAATTTTATAAATTATGATCTGTATATTTTTACCTCTGAGTTGCAAATTGACTAGAACACATAAACAAATATTAAAAGGACTGAGGCCCTGATCTGGTTCCCACGAAAGCCAGTGGAAGGGGAGCCATAAATTTCTATGGGAGAATTGCAAATAGTTTTGTGCTAAAGGAAGAATTGTGGCATCAGGTGAAGCAAAGTACAAAAGAAATGTAATTAAAGTACGCAACATTATCATATGTTCAAAAAAGTTTAAAAATCTTCAAATTTTACAAGCATTATATTTTTCAGATTTGAATAACTTGAAAAGAGAAAAAAGGATCTTTCAGCAATCTCAACAGATATTTTAGGCTGAACAGATATTTAGGCAGAGTGCGGGATAAGGCCCAGAATGTTTATGTTAAACAATAATAAATTATCTGTGCTGGGAAACTCAACTTGAACTGCAGCTGCAAAGGTTTCTTTCCTCTTTTCTTATAGGTTTTTTTTTCTCCCCTAACTGATCTGGTTCAGCCAGGGCGTAGCTGTAATTACCTTCTTCCCATCTACAGCTAATACCTCAGAGCAATAAAAAAAACTGAGGGTGTTAAAATTTCAAACACTAATTGTGGGCTCTTATATTTACTAAACACAGCAGAGTAGTAAGAAAAGTTTCATCCTCTTGTGGCCAGCACTGCTCTGTTTGATCTACCAAGTCCCTGGATCCTTTGCACTAACTATATTATATAACGGTTAATAGCACACTAAAATAAAATTCGATAAACACACTTATTACCAAACATGTACAGCAAAACCGCTTACAGCTGTCTCCTTTTTCCAGCACAGGGGTATCTCTGAAGAGTTCATTCCTTTGTTGATTTTGATTTTGGTTTCCAATTAGGTGATATAAATAGTAGAGCAGTGGATTTTGAAAGGGGAAGCATGCACTATTTGAGTACCTCATTTAAAGTCTTATGGTAATAAGGTAATATGGTAATAAGGTAATATGGTAATAAATATTGGTTAATCCTACAATTGTTTCTGTTACTTTCCCTTTTTCAGGTTTTCAGGTCTAGCAAAGCAATAAAGCTGAGAGCTTTCTTAGTTCCTAGTTCAGCACTGCCACTGTCACCACTACTACCTCTCACATTCATGTTAAACACACAGAGGGTAGCTTTACACCACTTAACAAGAATAGAGGGGTATGGATTTTTGGGGTGTCAAACAGCTGTCACAAACTGTCACCTCCTCAAGAGAAACCTTGGCACACAACAAATTAACCTACACTTCTTTTGGGTTATTATTATTCATAGCCAATCAGTTGAAATGCTCCTAGTATTTCATGTGCAAATAAAACCATGAGGGGAAGACCCGTGGATCAGAATAGCGGGCCAATACATAAAACAGAGGAAACAACACGCTGTCTCTGTCCTTCTGAAGTGGCTCATCATCTCCCCTGCACCAACTTTCACCAAATGAGATCTAGCCTGCGGCTGTATATTAAATATGCATATCAAGGCAAATGAAAAAAAATAAACCTGGAGAGTCAAATTGGACAAATTTGCATGCTTGAACTGTTACATTTCCAGGTAGATGATCAGAAATGATAGCTCATTTTTTAATAGACTTGCATGATTATATTAGCTATTTTTTTTAAGCTTTTCCTTCTCTATGAATAAGGGTGGATTTCTTCCTGCTGGAACCTTGTACAGTGCAAATATAAATATGGTAGTTTGACTAAGCTATAAAAGAGTGTTAAAGTTTTGTCAGGAAAACAAGCTAATATAAAAAAAAAATCCAATAAGGAGACACATTTCCCAAAACGCATGAATAAAATGTAACTATGTGATACAGCTCTTCATTTCCCAGTTGGTGTTCTGGTTGCACAAATTATTGCTTCCTTTCAAAACAAATAGCAGGGGGCTAAAGTAAAAATGTTATAGCTCAAATCTCCAGGAAATAAAAGGCTTTAAATTATAATACCCAATGAAGTGGTAAACCCTAACGGGTGCAAGATAAATGGGTTGTCATATTTATTTTAGTTTGTTTTTGGGGCCACAGATTCTTCTTAGGGATGATAATAGTTACCAAATTATCAAAATGCTAACCCCCTCCACCTCTGTCCTATCATTGTGTGTGAATTTAAATATTATAATGGAGCACTGCAAATTGGCTTGAGCATTTGCCATCTGCCAGAACCCTAAACAAGCTAGTTTATCTAATCTCTTCAATATAAACATAAGCATGCTCCATTTCTACACTTCCACTTGAAACACAGGCTTGTAAAGAAACTGTACTGGAGAAACATGTTAGTTTTTTTCTGTTTCTCTAAATTTTACACAATGAATCACTATGTTTCAGTGTGCCACTCATTTCAATTTCTTTTCTAGTGTTCTCCCAGGATACTTATGCCCACTAATTTAGGGTTGTAAAATGCCATGATACAAATATTTTTGAAATTATGTCATGACTCATAGAGTTTATTATCTACATGTGAGATAGCTGATAAGCGGGGAAACTTTCAGGAAGCTCTGCATACCTTTTTCTCTCAAAATAATAGATTTGAAATGTAAAACATAGCACAAACCTTGTCCTGTAATGTTTACTGAATACAAATGAGAAAATGAAAGCTAAGGCTTGGGTCCCAAAATATTTCCCATAACTAAGTCGTGCCAGAAGGGGGACATTAGAAGAATTTATTATTATTTTATCTCCCAATTCAGCTTCAGTCCAGATCTAATGTAATTATCAGATACGCAAACAAACAACATGTTTTCAAAGGAAACAAAAGCTCCTAGAAAGCTCATTCTCCCTGGGCTTGCAGCTACTCCTCTTAACACACTGGGAAATAAAGGCAGACGCCTGTGCAGAAAGCATGGTTAACTTCACACCGGGTGTTAAATTAATATTTCAACCACTAAAATATTAGACTGTATCATTTAGATTAGGAGTTCAATTGAATCTAAAACTGTGTAAACCCCTTTACCCCCCAGGGATGCATTCCTATAAATAAACTGGAGTTCACACCCACTCTTTTTAACCAGAGCTATTCCTTCCCTTTTCTGCGGTACCAGCTGCAATCTTTCCGTTCACATCCCAAAGTCTCTTTGCATCTACATCTTTTGAAGGATCACAAGAGCCGCTCCAAAACCCGGAAAAACAAAGGCACTCTCCTCACCACGCACACCAACATTTAGTCCTAAACACATTACACTAATCCAGCAACTCCTAAAGTGTTAAAATCAACCACTAACCTATGGTTATTCAATCATCAATCTCTCCAGCTTTCTGTAATACATTGTTAATAATTGCTTCATCAAGGTTACTGTCTTTTATTATGAAGATGCTTCAGGCATTTGGCAATAAGTCCATATTCTGACAATAAGTTGCTCTAAAGCAAAAGCTCTAATGTGCTAACCCCTTTTTTTTTTTTTAATGCAGTGTGGTATTGCCAATAATTCTCATCACTTGTCATTCCCACAAGAGGGGATGGGGGAGCAAATCAGCAAACTTTCTCCCTAACTTTCTTGTCTCAGTTTCCTTACATTGATGCATTGATTACAAAGTTGGCAAAGAAGAGGAGAAAGCACCTATCCCCACATCAAACAGACAATTTGCTAACTCTCCAAGCAGCCCAGACCAGGAAACTTTACAAATCATTGCAAACTCGATGCTTTACAGATGGAAACTGAGGGAACCTTTTGAATTTCTATAACTTTACAAAGCAAGAGGGAAGAAAGTGTGAAGATGGGGTCCGAGCTTGCAAGAGGTTAAAGTAGTAATAATACTACTAGACAACAGCAGCAAAGCAAGGAAATTGGGAACAGGTCCTGTAAGCAGGTTAAAGTCTTAAAAAATGCCATAAAGAAAACAGAAAGACTTACATGATCGGCTAAATTTGTGGAAGATCCTGAGAGTTCTTCGTGGTCTGATTTGGAGCTGCCATCCCTTTCATCAATAACGAGGTCTATTGGCATTTTTCCCTTCAAACAACTAATGTACCGATGGCAGAAATTATCACACAATTCATGAACCTGAAAAGAATAACAAGAATAATAGTATCAATAATGGCAAACTATCATATTGCAACTTTTTTTTTTTTTTGGTAGCAAGGACAACCCTCTGTACTACTCCACAAGTAACTCTAATTAAAGGGGGACAATAGTTGAAGGCAAGGAAACAATAGAGAAATTGTTGCGGCACATATTATTCTCTAGAGACTTGTCGCAGCAACAAGTTAGAGAGAAAGATAGTGGGCTTGAACTGGTGTGCAGAAGGAAATCAGATTTGATGATAACATCAGAACACTGGGAGCTGGACTCAGACGGTATCTCCGGAGCATACGCGAGCCGGACAGGTACAACTAGTCACTCGGGACGGGATTAATTTAAACCGGGGCTAAAAACAAAGGTCTAAATGGTCGGGAGCAGTAAAACGAAGCTACTCGGTGAGATTGTGGTTAGAACCGTTCTAATCCCAGGATACAGCCCCCTGCCCACGCCGTGCAGGGGCCCCTGCCTCTTCCAAATATTTAGTGCTTGCTTGGGGTTAATGTGCCTGCCAGAGCTGGAGAGCGGAGTGATTTCATATCTTTTTGTTAAACATATTATTTCTGAGTGAGGAAAAGAAAATCTACTGGGGGAAGGGGTAATAAGGATGGAAGGGGTTTAACATATTAAATACTGAAATTAGACAAACACACACACACATAAAAAAAAAAAAAAAAAAAAAAGGCGGGCTGGGCTAGGCATGCCTGTCGGGTGTCACATGTTCTGATGGTACAGGTTATAGTGTCACACTGCGTTTCCCCTCTCTCCTCTGGCCATGTTTACAAGTCAGCCCAGTCGGGAGGGAAGGGCGGGGTGAGGGAGGTGGGGTGGGAGGAGGAGGTGAGGACAGAGAGGGAATAGCATTCCCCGCTCCCATCTCCGTGGCTCTTACCTTTTCTAATTCCAAAAGATGAAACCTTAGTACTTGTATTGCTTGGATCATCTGCAAGAAAGTTTTGAGCAAGAGGTTACGTGGGAGACAGGAGCACGGGGGCTGTACAGAGCTGCGAGCCCAAGTGGGCAAGGGGGAGAAGGGGATTGTCAGGGCGCGCAGTCATTATCCAGGATTTTAGCTCATTGGTCACGCTTCAACAATTTTGATCAACTTTAACCTAAGCACTTGATTTTTATCGTATTTATTCCAGGAGCGGTGATTAGTGCTTTATTACCGCGATCTTGGAGAAAACCTTTTCCTCTTCTCCTTGCTCCCTTCTCAGCACCCCGGCCCTCATCCCTGAGGGTCCGCAGAGAAGTCAATCACACGCTGCCACCCCCACTCCCCTCCATCCCCCGGGCCCGCAGGAGAAAGGGTGGTGAGTGTGTGAATGGTTTAGCATCTTTTTTACAAGCGGATTTAGGCACTTTGAATATTGAAATCATTCACATTACCAAAAGAATTAAGTTAGAATTCTCCGTCTCTCTCTTCTTAAGAAGTTATTTCCTTCATTTTAGCTTCCCATGGCTTTCAAATGCAGCTTTGCAATGCATGGGACTCGAGAGTTTGTCCTGGCTCTTTTTAAGAGTGCAGCTCTTTGAAGCCCCTTGACTGCAACTTCCCGGTCGGCCGGCGCCCCGCTCCCCTGCCCACGCAGCCCGGGTGCCTGGGCCGGCAGCCGCTGCCCCGCCGCACCGATCAGCCCCGGCCCCAGGCGGCGGAGGGCGCTTGCCGGCAGCTGGCAGAGGGGTCGGGAAGGACGAGAGGGCAGTGGGGTGGAAGGGGGAGCAGGCCTTACCAAATTGTCCAACTCTGGATTTGAAGAAAAAAGTGGTTTTTCGGCGCGGACCTGCAAGAAGAAGAGAAAGCAGCGTGAACTACAGCTTCTCTTTTTAGCCCTGTAACCGGATCACCCGAAGGGGGAAAAACCCGTGTGACAAAACCGGCTGCTACCAAAATCCGGCTGAACGCCCTGGGTCACCGTGCTTGGAGAGAAGCTGCCGGCCAGGCGCCGAGCCGGCCGCCGGTGACACGGGAGCCCTCTCCTTTGGGTCTCCTGCCTGCCTCCCGCTCCCTCTGCCTCCAAAACTCGGCCACAGCTATCTTTCCCTATCACTAATGCAGGAGGGCGAGGGCCGGGAGTCCCAGCCTGGTAGCATGGAGGAGCTGCCGGCGGAGGGGGAATTAGAGCCAGCCGGGCCACCAGCGCGCACCCCTGCCCCGCCGGAGAGGGGGCGCCGGGGGGGAGGGTGTGCTACCCCTGCCAGCACCCGTCCGTGTGGGTCGAGGAGCTGAGGAGGCGGCGGGAGCGCTGGGGAGGGTCGGGGGCGGGCGGAGAGATGCCGAACCTGTTTGGCGAAAACGGCGATGTCCTCGTTGAAGGAATCGGAGGAGCAGACGTCCCCGCCGGCCACGCCGGGCTCCCGGGGCGTGCAGGTCGCCAACTCGCACTTCTCAAAGACCAGAGCTAAGAGGGGGAACAACGGGTGCCTACCGGGCAGTGGCACACAAAGAGAAGGGAGGGGGTGGAGGGAGAGGGGGAAAGAAGAACTCTAATCAACAAGTATTTTTTTTTTTAATGCATGGATACACAGACATGGACACACGGACACAGCCACACTCTATAGCCTAGCAGTAATGCTCCGGGCAGAGTAGGAGAGAACAATATTTTGAAATAAAAATGATGGAGTTTGTAGTGGATTGGTTTTTGTTGGGTTGCTGGGTTGTTTTTTTTTTCCTTTTGAAATTGCAATACCCGAACCGCATCCCCCGTTCAGTCCTCACCGAAGAGGACAAAAGTGACCGCTCCTTCAAATGCACAAGGCACCGAATGTGCTCAGCAGCAGTTCAGCTGGGAATCTTACAATTTTTGCCACAGCTTAACATATCGCAAAACGTGGAAGATCCCATCCCTACCCTCCAGCTATGACCTAAAACGAGAGCACAGCTAGGCAAACTGCAAACTCCTTAATACGTAATTTTATTTTTCAAGGGGCCTGCTAGCAAAAATGTGGTGAAGTTTCCTGGCTTAGGAAGCACACCCAAGTAAAATACCATCTGTCCAGATAAGTGAGCAGGGGAGGGGGCGGAGGGAGGGAGCACTTCGTGAAATATTTTCCCATAGTTGGTGTAGTCAGAAAAAAATTATCTACGTGTTAAGTAGTAATCATGCGTTTGTTTCTTTTCCCCTTTGGTGTCTGATCAAGGCCCCACACTCTGTCATAGATGTTACTAGCTCTCATTTTAGGATCATTTAGTATTTTTTCCAAAAGGGATTGAAGGGAATTGGTGTCATTCCCTCCAAGCAATGCCCTGGTGCCTTGAGTTTTGCTGGGTATGCGTCTCTTTTCCTCATGTTCTTTCTTGAGTAGAAAACTCATTTCATTGCCCCCAATGTGTTTATGTCTTCTGTCTCAGGGAAGAGCTGTTTGCAAGAAGTGAATCCCTTCCATTCTTACTATCTTCTGCGTTGTGAATAGCTCTTTATTTACAAAGTTGGGAGAGTGGTATTATGGCATGGAGGAGAACACCAGAACAACACTTCTCCAACTAAAATTCAAAGCAGTAAGAGCCGTCTCTAACTCCTAACTGTGGCCTTTCCAAGAAAGAAAAAAAAAACCCCACGGATAAGAAAAAAAGGGGGGGGTGAAGGAAAAAAACCCGAGTAAATAAAAAAGAAAAATGGAAGGACAAGGCAACACCACCTCCCCCAAGCCTAGCCTCTCTTCCCGAGAGGTCTGTTTTTCCAGCACCCGTTTCCCGTGGGTGCTGGTACCTCAGCTAAGAGTCAGGCTGGGATCGCCCTCGTCCCGAGATCGCCAGCCGCGGCAGTGGCACCGCGCGGGTCTCCCACCAGAGCGGGCGGCTAGTCGGCCACCGCCCTCCAGCCGGACCCTCCGGGGCTCCTCCCGCCCCACTCCACTCCGGGGCCCGACTGCCGCTGCCGTCGCGGCCCCGCGGGAGCCCCTGCCGCCCGCCCGCCCAGCTTCTGCCCTGGCCGCTCCGCGGGCACCAGCGCTGCGGAGCCGGGCCCGGGCGGCCCAGCGGCACCTACCCGTAGATCGCATCCTTGTCCCGCTTCAGGGCGTCGTTGACAGCGGAGCCCATGCTGGCCGGCATGACATTGGGGTGCGGGGCGTGGGCACCGTAGTGCTGTCCGGCGTGGAGCGGCGGCCCATGGTTGAGGTGGTGCACCGGGGGAATCGGCCGGGGGGCGTGGGGGTCCCCGTACATGGACGCCGGCACCCCTACTCCGTCCATCCCGCCGTAGTGGGGCAGCTCATCGTACTGTCAAAAAACGGGCCGGAAGAGGAGAAAGAAAAAGAAAGAGGAGAAGAGAGAGGGGAATAAAAAAAAAAAACCAAACCAAACAAACAACAACAACAAAAGTCAGAAGAGAGTAAAGCACCCGGACAGACACAAACAGAGCAAAACAAAACAAGAACAGCCACAACAGAGAGAGAAATATGCAAAATGAAATCAATTGGGACCGGGAGCAGGGGCTGGAGAGGCTGAGGAAGGAGTGGGGGTGCAGGGAAAGGTAAAGGGGGAAAGTGTGTATGCCTGCCTGCGTGTGTGTGGGTAGACGGTCCTCTTCAGCACGGGCAGGAGAACCCCTAACAAGGAAACGGGAATGAAAAGGAAGGAAACGGAGGAGAGAAACTAGAGTTACTCTGCATTAGAGAGGAAGAACAAAAAAAAAATTAATAAACAAGCAGAATCAAAAGCAACTAGGTAAATAAATGAACACCAGGAAGGAGAGAGGTAAGGTAGGGTGCATGGGGAGGGGGGGGAGATAAAGGGGGAAATAATCTGAAAGTTACCAGAAACATTATTTAGTAGCAATTCCCCTTGTCCTTGTCAAAGCCAGAGACAAAAAAAAAAAAAAAAAAGCAGCTATATGTGTATACATATATATACATTCATATATACGCAGACACACATATGTATTTCTTAGTCTTTGCTAGACAGTGGCAGTAGCGGCGGCAGCAGCAGCAGGAGCAGCAGCAAGCTTTCCCCTGTGAAACCCGTGCTACTGAGCAGGCAGAGAGCAGGGAAATCGCTCTGCTGGGGGAAAAGCTAGAAAGGAAAAAAGCGTGGAACAATTGCAGAGACACACACAGAGAGACACTCATGCACACACACAAAAAGCCAGTGAATTTTTGCTGCTATTTTTTAATAGTGGCCGCCATCATCAGCAGCAACAGAGGAGAGCAAATCGGACAGGCCCCTCTTAAGAGAGGATTTATATATAGGTAAGTGTTGGAGATTTAAACCTACCCTTTGCGCCATCAGTCTGCGCTCCAATAAACTCCTGGATGTGTCGTATATTTAATATCCCAGTCCAGCAAAGAAAGTGATTTAGAGTGAAGAAGATTCCTTTTTTTTTTTTTTTTTTGCAACCCACTTATAGGCTTCTCCTATTCTCCAATATGGGTAAATAATAATAATAATAATAACAACAACAACAACAACAACGATAGTATATAAAAAACAGTCAAGAACCACGATGAGTTTCTGAGTTTTCTTCTTTTTTCTGTCTCTTTCTCTCTTTCCTTTTTCTCTCTCTCTTTTTCCTTTTTTCTTTCGCTACGCAAAAAAAAAAAAAAAAAAAAAAAAATTGTCAAGCCCCCAAACTGAAGGTTACGATCGGCCCGTCAGCAACCCACATGTAACCAAACTGTCGTGTCTCATGGCTTTTTGCCACTCCAGCTGTCAATCAAAGCCAGGGAATGTCAAGGTAGTGAATGAATGATGGTTGATGATGATGAAGAAGAGAGGAGGAATCTTTTTAACCCCGGTTTCTTCTTCCAGGAACTCCGTGGTCGGGTTTTGCCTTTTAGGATCGCTATAGGGTTGTTGGTTTTTGGTTTTTTTTTTTGTTTGTTTTTTTTTGTTGTTTTTTTTTTTTTTTAAGTACTGTGAAGGGGGGTGGGGAAAGATGCGAAGAAAAATTGAATAGTTTGCAAAGCCCGGACTTCCCCCTCTCTCTTTTTTTTTTTTTTTTCCTCCCGGCAGGTATTTTGTCTCCCTCTCTCCCTCGCTCCCTGGGATGAGTGAGTGTCAGTAAGTGTTGGCAGGTTGGCTGCCGGCTGCCTTATAGAAGAGGCTCAGTTTTGCGGCGCTGATCGGCGGGAGAATGAAGTGACGGAACCCGGAAGTAGTGGTGGCCATAGCCAGTCCTGC